TCAAACTAACGACCTTAGTCGTCTCCGCAAAGCAAGTATGCCCCTGCCTTTTTTTAGGGTTTTGATTAACATTTTAACTTTAATGTTTAACAAACAAAATGTTTATTATATGATTTTACTTAAACATTCAAAAAACGACTGCACCAGATCCAATAATTATTTTTATACCCTTCCAGGGTATTATAATTGCAGTCAGAAGTTTGCAACGCAGTGAAGGAGTCCGACCATTTAAAGTATATACATATGTACATTTATTCTTGATCAGCATCAACAGCCGTGTCAATCTCGCCATGTCCGTTTCTACGCAAACTTGTCCCTCAGTTTTGAAACTATCTGAATGAAATTTTACAGTTAGTCTTATATATACTCTCACTCTTATATATGTCGGAACGGACCGGATCGGACGACTATATCATATAGCTGACAAAGGTACGATCGGAAAATTTTTCCAAAAAAAAAAATTATATCTTTATTTTTCAACATATTTTCACTAAATTTGAGATATAGCCATTTTATATTATTCTTCAATCTGCAAAGGATTTATTTATCATTATTTATTAAACCCAAAACTACACAAAAATTTATTGTTATAGCAGCGTTTCGGTTTTATTATAATTGTGAAATAGGCGTGAGAAAATTTTAAAATAATCTTCGATTGCCTGCAACAGATATGATTTGTTATCATCACATTGTGTGCAAATATTTTTCGAACGGAAAGCATTAAAAATGCTAATTACTTTGTTTTGACAAAATTTGTTATTGTTGAATTATAGTAAAACGTCTTCTAACGATTTAACACATATGTATATGTAGTTATGAAAATTATCTGACATGTTTTATTCAATATATTCCAAAACTAAGTAAATAGTTTGCGTAGACACTGATAGACAAAGATGGTTAGATCAAATCGGGTGTTGATGCTTAACACTAAATATGTATGTATTTAACAATTGTATATACTATACAAAGTGCCTTCTTCCCTGTGTTCTATCTTTTAGTACAATTATAATGCCAGGAAGAGTTCCAATTGAATTATTTTCCACTTTCTCTCTTATTTCACCTGAACCAATCGACTTTGAAAAAAAAAAACCCTTGTATGTATAAATGTCCCCTAGTATTCTACCTTTTGATTGGCTTATCTCTTATTACGACCAAAAAATCTTAAGTTGAACTTGAATTCCGCAAAAATAATTTAATTTTAGTCAAAAGTGTGCATGGAGACATATAGTGACATTAAAAAGTATAAATATTCTTGATAAGTTACAACAGCCGAGTTGTCATATCCGTCTAGTCTCTCAATTTTAGAAACTGTATAGAACTTTTTTGGATATTCTTCTATATATTGCAGGTAGGATATGTCGGAACGGGCCTAATTTGCTCATCATGAGTAGTGTCTACTAGTAGTACCTAATACTGCATTAGTAGTCACCGCCACCTCCAGGTGCTGGTGTTCGGCTGCTTCTCTTTGCAAATATTTCTACTTGATCTACTTACGGCGTTGGGCGGGTATCAAACTGCAGTACTAGAGATTACTATCTGTGACCACACCCATAGAAGGTGCTAATCAGTTTTCAGACAAGGTGGCCAAATAATTATTCTTGCTGTCCTAGATGGGAATTTAAAAGAAAAAAAAAAACATTTTATCGCATTTGTATGTTTTAACACATTTATTGATTAATTTAATGATTACATTTTTCCCACTTAATTTTGATTACATCGCTGTACACTAATGATAAACAATAACCACACTGGAACAACAAACACTCCTGTCTGAACCACAATCATCATACATCAAACCATCGTCGTGGTTTTCTTAGGTCAGTTGGCCGTTGGCAGTTGGCGCACTCGCTTCGGACGACTATCAAACAAGCCCCGTTGGGTCAGGTTATTGCCGGGACATTTTGTGCTGTGCCCGATGATTGGCTGAGAAGAAAAATGGGTAATGACTGAGAATCAGCAAATACTTAACCCAAAGCCCTCTGCAAAAATGTTTTCTAATGAGACAAATTACACTACAATATTTGCTCTTCATTAAATGCATACTTTTCTCTTGTTCCCAGTCGAATCTGCAGCAGCTCCCACAGCTAGCCAGTTATACAGTAGTAAGTAACATGTCAAATAAGGATTTCATTAATAAATACATATTTACTTCGACAATAACTTTTGTTAGTATTTTTTGTGAATGCTGTTCCCTTTATCGCTTTCGGGTTTCTTGATAACTTTATCATGATAATGGCGGTATGTATGCTCTAATTATAATTAGATTACACTAAGATATAATTTTAAACAAACGTTTGCTTTCTTAGGGCGAATACATTGAATACTATTTGGGTCACTTATAACGCTGTCAACAATGGCGCAGCTGGCCTTGGTAACACCATAAGCGATATTCTAGGCATCACTATGGCCACCTATGTTGAAAACGGCTGCCAGATATTGGCCTGAAGCAGCCCAAGTTGACACCAGCCCAATTCGAGCTGAAGTCCAGCAAGCGATCATCCAGTATTGTAGGTCAAACTGCAGAGCCATCGAAATAAGCTAATAATTAAAACAAAACTCTTTCCTCCAGGTCGTATTGTTGGCATTACAGTGGGATGTCTGCTTGGAATGTGTCCCTTATGGTTCATGGAAGAAAACCGTCAGAGAAGCTAGATGCTGCGACTGACTAAACTAAAGAAAGCTAGAGGTTTGGGCTATTTTGGCCAATTAGATGCGGCATATTTTAAGTTATCATAAATCGACGACGATGGTTTTATTTTAAAATACTTTATATTGGCCTAACATGCAATTTAAATAATTTATTCTTATTGGTTTTTCGTCAATTTGAATGAAAGTTCTACGATCTGGTCATGTATTACGTAAACACGTATTGGAAAAAAAAATTTTTTGGTTAGATTTTAACTCTTTAAATTTGTGAGTCGCCTAATGGGCCAAGCTAAATTATAAAGAACTATAATCAAAGTCTTAGAAAATCAATTCACTTAAATTTAATTTATATGTATAATAGTTTACCAAATATGTATTTATATTGAGATAAAAACAATCAATAAGTTAAGGACTGTCCTCTTACCAAGCTACACTGAAAAGTGCCTATTAAACGTGCTTAAAAACTTGTGCCCTCTATACAATTCTAACCATATCCTATTGGCTTTACTCTTAAATTGACAAGAAAGGAAGCTAACTTCGGCCCGCCGAAATTTATATACCCTTGCAGATACAACTTCAATGACTAAATATTAATATAATATAAATTATATATACTTATGTTAAAAAACAATGAAGTTGTTTGTTTGCTTTCATTTCCATAACCTATACATATTATATTTACAGTTTTACATTAACAGTTTTGCATTTTCCCCTATATCTAACGATCTTTGTATGGTAGCTATATGATATAGTAGTCCGATTTTTATAAAATGTACACAAAATTGTAGAAAAATATAAAATGGCTATATCTCAAATTTGATAAAAATCATTTGAAACTGAAAATGTTATGATTTTTAATTGTATTAATTCCTCGATCGTTCCTATGGTAGCTATATGATATAGTAGTCCGATTTTCATAAAATTTTACACAAAATTGTAGAATATGATATGATTTTAAAATGGCTATATCCCAAATTTCCTATGTTCCTATGGAAGCTATATGATATAGTCGTCCGATTTGGCCCCTTCCGACACATATACGAGTGAGAGTGTATAGAAGACTAACAGCAAAGTTTCATTGAGATAGCTTCAAAACTGAGAGACTAGTTTGCGTAGAAACGGACAGACGGACGTGGCTAGGTCGACTCGGCTGTCGATGCTAATCAAGAATATATATACTTTACATGGTCGGCGATGACTCCTTCACTGCTTTGCAAACTTCTGACTGAAATTATAATACCCTGCAAGGGTATAATAAGAAAATACATGTGAACTAAAAAGTAGACAACAATAAAATTTGAATTTTCCAGTTAGAGAGCTTATTCATACAGAATACATAAAATTAAATCAGCTTTAAAGTGACCAGTTTAAAAAAATATGATTTTAAAAATGAGTATATTTAACTGCACTGCTGAGTCATTGAACCTTTATTTATGTATTAAGATGCACAATATAAATAGATCAACTATTTTAAATCAAAACCAATAAGGAATTAGTCATTGCTTCGGTAAGCAGTTGCCAAAACATAGAAGCATTTCTTGTTTGCTGACAGCGTAAGTTCGACAAGATTCGGTTACTATCAGTTATGAAATAATTTAAATTTTCTTTTAAGGTATCGCTACTATACTGTGATTTAATATTGAGCCAGTAGTTTTGAGTACTGTCCTGCAAAATTTCACTATCGAAATTGTTTCTTCTTAACGGTAAATATGGAACGGAGAATTGGAATATTCGGTGCGTGTACTCAGTCTCATTTGGTATTGCCTGGGTGCAATACACTCGTTCGTGTTTCAACAATTCCTCTTCACGTTCAGCGCATGCCAGCTTTCGTTGCACGAAACATCAGAGACGTTATCAAAATTATTAGCAGATCCCGGTTGCGATGAAGTTGAAGCCGTTGATGTACCCGCTGCGTCCCCAAGAGTCAGAGTGGTTACCGAAGGTGAAGCTGTAGATGGTCGGCGGTGCCACATTGTGCCTGGAACCTGGCTGGCTATAAAAAAAGCACTCGCTAATGTTATCACACTTGCTGCATAGCTCAGCGCCAGAACGGAAAAGCTGTTTGCCAGGAATTTCGTCCACTCAAAGCTGGGAAGCAGTTGGATTAGCTCACTGTACGTTAGCCAGCCTCGCCGTAATCCTTCCCTCTCCGCCAGCGTTTTTTCCACACTGTTCAATTTGGCAAAGAAGTCCTCGTTAGAAATGTATATATTCCAGTCCTGAACAGAAAGAAAAAAAATTGTTTAGTATCTTCGAACTTAACCCTTGCAACTCATTTTTATTTTTACCAGAAGTTTGCTAAGCAGTGAAGAAGTAATTTTTGAACCTATAATGTATATATATTCTTGATTAGCATCAACAGCCAAGTTTATCTTTCAATGTTCGTCTGTCAGATTCTACAAATTTTTGAACCTATATGAATGATACGAAGATAATCTTCAGACGATACCTTTCATTATATGAAGAGAGATGTTTCAACTTGTAGCGTTATTAATATACTCGAACTGACAAGCGGACATAGACAGGACTAAGAATATATATTCTTTGTGGGTCGGTAAGCTGGCACCCAATGGGTACTAAGTATAAAAAGTTGCAATTTGGAAAAGACCTACCAAAATCTTGTTTAATAAATATCTTTTAAACAGTGTCAGATTAAAATGCTTAAGATGCCCTTAGACGAGTGTTTAGATGTAGAATATGACGGCTTGAATAGCCTTGCGGTTTCCAATTATAAAATTTCAAATCAATCTATTCCGGTTCATTAAAAATAAATATACCGAAATCATATTTGTGATTTATCTAGCTTCTCATATAGCCCTTAGATTTTTATAATATTTAAACCATTATTTTTTTAAATAGCAAATATTAATATGCATATATGGGCAATTCTCTGGTGTCGAATGAGACATTCGTACGTATTCAAACTTATTTTAATTTAAAAAAATTTTTTACGTATAGCTCTTGGTTAGCACTATAATTGGTGCCAAGATCGATTTTGAACCCTTGTTCGTTTTCAAGATATTCAGTAAAATGTACTGCATTCGCACGCGACAAAAACAGAAGTTACATTTGCAAGAAACCAGTTTAAGCTCTGATTTCAGCGAAACGTGATGAAAAATTGTATTACAATAATTTTTAATGAATTATGCAATGAATTATCTTAATAATTTATTTTGTTTGATTTTAAAATATTAAGTAGTTATTTTTTAAATTAAATTTTAGTTCCAGTCGCACGCGACATTTTAGAAAGCTATAATTTAAACTAGACTGTACGAATATTGGTGATCGCATATGTCCTTTTGCCTTTTATATTGACTCTTTGCATTCTCTGTGTGAAATTAGAAAGCAAAGTAAAAGCAAAATTCTTTTGTTTAAGAAATTGGCATCAAAACAAAACATGCCATTTGTTATGACTTTTTTTTTATAAATATAACAAAAATTGCGTTCACGCATGTTTGACATCGATTTTTTCGATATTTATTTTAGAAAAAATTATTTTAGCCTTGATCAATCTGACCAATTTTTTATGTAACAATGCTAAAAATACAAGTTTTTAAGCAAGTTTTTTGCCGCGGTAGACCTTTCTGGAGAATTGCCCATATGTTGAAAGTCGACGAAGCTATGTCAATATTCCCCTTTTTAAAGTTAATCTATTTATTTTTTTGCGGACCGTAAGTCCGCATATTTGTTGTTTTACCAGTTATCTTTAAAATTCAAAAGAATGTGGAACAGGCGAACATGACTATATCTGTTGATGCTGATTAAGAATATATGTATGTATATATACATATAGTTAAGGGCAAATTTTATGTGATCATCGTCAATACGTGGACGGCAGTCCACACTGATAAATAGTTTACATTTCTCCTACAAGGGGTTTTTGTGTTCTTTGACAGAAAATGAAATTTTAGATTGCAAGAACTTGCCGATAGAAATGTTCATAATTTAAAAATTAGTTCAAAAATGTATAGGTGTACTCAAGCTTGGAACCATTATAAATACTCACTACAGCAGAGAGAAACTCTAGTTCCATTTCCTTCAGTCTGTCTTCTGTCATGTTTCCCTCCTTAGCCCAATCCTCAATAAAGAACCGTTCATCGTGGCCGGCATAAAACTTCGTTGAAATCATCTGCGAATATTAATCGGAAAACTTTTAATTTTTATTTTAAAATATGTTCAATTGCGGTCCACAGCGTTCTTTACAGGTTAAAGAATAAGTAAAAATGTATTATATTATAATAAAGTTAAACACATACGTAAATACTGGGAATCTAATACTTCATTAATAAATAAATGTACATATACATAAACTAAGGCCTTTGCCGCTTTTCTGTTATAACTTCGCTAAAGCCATTGCTTTTTTTTTTTTCTTTTCAAATATTCATTCCAAGAATATATGAAAGAAAAAGGAAAAAAAAAGAGCTGAACAAATGAGCGGAACGAAATGACGACATACATATGTATGTATTTATATAGAAGCTAAATTATCACATTTGTCTTGACTTTTCGATTAAAGTCCCGACAGTGCACTCTTTGTGTATTACAAATGTATGTATGTACATATATGTATGTGTAAATACATGAATACATACGCTAGTTGAGTGACTCAGTGTGCATTATTCTACCAGGTTATTAATCAACAGGTTACGAAGACATACATACATACATTTTGTATAGACATACATAGTAAATATGCCTACTCACCAGCGATACAACGAACAGCTCGTGGGGAGTAATGCGACAGCTGTAGCCCGGATCTATCGTGTTCAAGCGGTCCAGGTAAATGAGAGCCATAATTAGGGAACATGGTGTTGCCTGAATTTTACCAGCGGCCACACAACTTAGGCGATGCAAAGAGTGTCCTCGATGGGGCTCGGAAAATATCTCAGATGCGTACTCTGCGAGGGGGGATGGAACAACTTTCAAGTCAGTGTCCGCTGTTTCCACGCCATAGTACAGAGTTTTCCGAATCCGATTGATAAAGTCTCCGTGTTGCATTACCTGACAAAAAGAAATAATAAAAATTAATTGACCGTAACATGTGTTTTCCTTCTATGTTGGTACCTTTTTAGGCGAAGCAAACTTACTACGCCCCATTTTGGCGAAATGTGATTGCCTAAGTTTAGAACCTTTGGAGGAATATAAAATTTGTTCTCTTATACTAATGTGATAGCGGTGAACGAGAATCGATTCAGTTTATTAATTGATCGATGTTTAAAAATATATAGAAACATCGATTTTAATAGAAGAATCGATAACTATTAAAAACCTGCAGCCACAGAAAAGCCGTCTTATTGTGGGTATTCCCTATTCTCACAAGTGTACGCCGAAACTGTCTGCAGAGTGTTCAGAAGCTATGACCTACATGGTAGGTTCCCCAGAAAGAAGACCTTACTTTTATCTATCAACATATACAAGCGAGCTTTAATTGCTGAAACGGATTTTGAGCAAAATTTGGAGTATTGACAGCAAGTAATATTTAAGTATAAGTATAAGTAGTTATAAAAGCATATTCAATTTGTTCGGCGAAGAAAAAGTTTTGCGCAAGCCCGGAGAAGCGCTCAAATTAAAACAATGATAGGGCAACGGTTAAGCACGCCGGAGGATTCGTTCTAGTTTGGTACTGCATGTCTGCAAGGACATGCCGAGCGGAGGGAAATTTGATTTTTATAGTTGAAATAATGATTACAATCATTTGCCACCAAAAAAGTCTAAACTTCTGACTGAAATTTATACCCTTCAAGGGTATAAATATAGAAACTCAATAGGTGGCAAAAGTACAGTTAAATCACAAGATTAGTTCTCATTATGTAATACAAATTTCGTTTAATCTGCAAATTAATAACAAATATTTCCTCCTCTGGTGTCTATGATCTTTTGGAGGCGTTTCGGAACGGAATCTTCTAAAGTTTTGAGGCATTTTAGGGGAATTATTTGGGACCTCTGTAATCGTTTCGTTTCTCCTATTTTACTTTATAAGCGACCACATCTGGTGGTGGCAAATCAAGTGTTTCCACACCATCTTCTGATAAAAACCTGGTAATAAGTTTAGAACGGAGCGCTGACCTGTTGGAGAATAAATCATCTGCATGATGCATGGTTCCCAACAACGGGACCAAGTCTTCTGTACCTGTGGCCTTATTCTACTTCAAAATTAAATTTCTTATATTTATTGATTTCATAATAAACAGTTTGCCGTGGCAAATTATATTCCTTACTGATATTTATTACGGAAAAACCCAAGTTATATTTTGTCACAATTTCTGCTTTTATAATAGTACTCAGCTCATTTTTCTTGGACGTTGATGCACTAAGGTCAGTACATACAAGTGGCCCGTATGACACCAGGCACGTGCCTGTTTGGGTTAGGTGTTAGTAGGCGCGATGGAAAATATAGGACAGAATACGAGGAAAATTGACTACCGGCGTGCTGCCAGATTGTTAGCTTGCATGCTTACTAAGTATGTTAATATCAAAGATTTTAATTTTGGAAGGGAATCTACGTTAGAGATTAGTGTGTACAAATCATTATAATTTGCACATAACACTCTAAAAGGTTCATGCAGTTCAAAGGAGGTCCTACAGTGGCGCAACACTAATGGGATATAGGATCTAGTGGTTCTACATGGTACATGGAAATTAAGCTGACCCAACAAGTCAGCACTTTCCACATCACCATGGATAAGGTTAAAAATAAAGGTTATCCCTAGCATCGTTCTACGATTGGCTAAGGACGGCAAGTTTATTAATAGGAGTCTACTAGAGTAGGAAGGTAATCTTTGGTTTGCATCCCAATTTAAACCGCGTAGAGCGAAAAGTAAAAAGTTCTTTTGAACCGACTCAATGCGTTTACTATGGACGCCGTACTGAGGGCTCCAAACGCAGCATCCATATTCTAGGATAGGACGAACTAAGGAAGTATATAAGGATTTAGTAACATAGGGGTCATTGAATTCCTTCGACCACCGTTTAATAAATCCAAGCACACCCCTGGCCCTATTCACCATAGACGAAATATGATCAATAAAGTCAAGTTTGGGGTCCAAGCGGACGCCCAAATCGTCAACTGTATTAATTCTTTCCAAAGAGCAGCCGTTCAGCGTGTAAGTAGCAAGCTTAGGAGCGACACGAGAGAATGTCATTAGCTTGCATTTCGAGCCATTTAAGTTTAATAAGTTTACACGGCACCAAGTTTGAAAATTATTAAGATCTGTTTGTAAATCCGACTGGCAGGCAACGTCATTGTATTGCACGCAAAGCTTGACGTCATCCGCGTACATAAGTACTCTGGAGTTAGTCAAGACTTTGGGCAGGTCATTTATGAACAATGTAAACAATAAGGGTCCCAAATGGCTTCCTTGCGGGACACCAGATGTAACCCTTAGAATATTGGATAAATTATTCTTAAAGAGGACCTTTTGCGTCCTGCCATTCAAATAACTAGAGATCCAATTAAGAAGATCACTTGGAAAACCCATTGAATCGAGTTTTCTAACGAGGAGAGAATGATTAACAGAGTCAAATGCTTTACTGAAATCAGTATAGATTACATCTGTCTGACAATTATTATGGAAGCCCTTTATAATATAGGAAGAGAGCTCCAAAAGATTTGTTGTTGTTGATCTTCGCTTAATAAAACCATGTTGACATGGAGAAATAACCGATCTACAAAAGTGCTGTAAATGAGGGGTGATAATATTTTCAAATAATTTTGGGATGGCCGACAACTTAGAGATTCCTCTATAATTGCTGGCATCCAATTTGCTACCTTTTTTGTGGAGAGGAATAATAAACGATTCCTTCCAAATAATGGGAAAGTGGGAGGTTGCTAAGGACAAGGTAAACAATTTCAGAAGGGGATAGCACAGGGCGTCGGCACAATACCTGAGCACACAGCCAGGAATTCCGTCGGGACCTGGCGAATAAACTGGCTTGACACGATGAAGATCTAAAAGGAGAGAGCTTTCGTTTAGGCTAGGACAGAAAATTAAGTTCGATTTGGGTATGTCGTAGGAATAAGTCTGGTATATATACGAAGAGCTAGAATAGGTTGTTTGAAAAAACTGCGAAAATAGATCGGCTATTGCCTGATCATTATTTGCGGTAGTATTTTCAAATGAAAGCGAGGAAGGATTTGTTTTAGGTTTACGTTTAGTGTTAACGAAATTATAAAACTGTTTTGGGTCCTGTGAGAACTGGGCCCTGCAACGAGTTAAATAGTTTTTATAACACTGCGCGTTCAGCACGGTAAAGTTTGACCGAGCTGATAAATAAGATGAAAGGGCAGATTGAGAACCGGTGATTTTAAATTTAGCATACAGTCTAGATTTTTTATTTTTAAGTCGGCTCAACTCTTTAGTAAACCACGGCGGTTTATTCGAGTTTGGCGGATAATATAACGGAACACATTCAGTAAAAAATGAATTCATGGCACTGTAAAAAATATCAACGGCAACTGCCATGTCAGTGCACATGTATAGATCGGACCAATTGAACTCGTTTATAAAATTATTCAGCCGTTCAAAGTCCGTTTTGCGAAAACATAGGACTTTATTGGCTGGACGGTCAGAAATATGCTGTACGTCACACCCAATATCAAGAGTCACATCGAAAGTTGGATGATAAGGATCTTCGGGTTGCGTCAGAGGCGCCACCCTTGCTAAACTGACTCTCGCAGGATCAGAGACGAAGCAAAGATCGAGCAAGCGCTGTAAGGAATTTCGAACATGGTTGACTTGAGACAGCGAAATGTCAAACAAGCCAGCGATAAAGTCATGTTGTGTAGGTGTATTGAGAGTATTGGTGGAATTATTCGAGCACCAAATAGCACCAGGGATATTAAAATCTCCTAGAACTACCAACTGGTCTCTATCCAAAAGTCTACTGGAAACCATCTGAATAGCGGAAAGGTGATTCCAATAAATAGGAAGTTCCGACAGTGGAGGTATGTAGGAACAGGTAATAAAAATTGAGCTACCTTTGATAGATAGCTTCACACAGAGGAATTCGACATCGTTGCATTCCTCGAAGGTTAATAATTCTGACGTGAGTGAGGAGTCCACCGCTATAAGAACTCCACCCCCGCGTCTGATAGGGCGATCTAGCCGATATACCGTGAACACAGCTGGAAAAACTTCGGAGCTCAGAATCTCCGGCTTTAACCAGGTTTCTGTGAGCACAATAACCTGAGATGCAAACGAAAGGCTATCAGAATACAAGTTAGGAAGCTTACTACGTAAGCCTCTTGCATTCTGATAGGAAATACCTAAGGAGTGGGTTAGTTTTTTGGGTCGGGATTGGAAGACGTAGAAGGCACAGTGGTAACATCAGGCCTGGGAAGAGTTATTCCTACAGGCCGCTTTTTCTTTTTCTTCGCCTCGAACTCCTTAACAACTATGTACTCTGGCCAGAAGTTGGGAGAGCAAATAGTGTTAAAGAGCTCGTTAGGGACATTTATCTTGAAAGATGAAATGTCCCTTGCGTAAGAAAATTTAAACTTTTCCACCTTTATCTTAATTTTTTCGGCTCTGGTTTTGCCTTGTATAAAGGCGAGAACATCTTCCGATGTTTGATCAGGGGAGAGCCGCGAGACAAAAATATGTCTCGTTGGTGGAACAGCTATAAGGGCTTTTGGCAAGGCAGATTGGTTATCCGCCGTGCCATTGTCGGCCGGTATTCCGGGCCTAACACCCTGGGAAGATATATTTATGTGAACGGGACTTTGAGGGGTCAATATTTGCGACCCCCCAGGGGATACAACAGAAATCACCGGCGGTACGGACACTCCCGCTGCACATTCGGATACCGAATCTTTCCTAGCGCTCGATCTCAGCACTCTTGGAATTAATGCTGAGGTCGAGGGCTGTGCCGTGGGAGGCTGCTGCTGAGAGCCTGTTGCGGGTAGTTGGGGTCCGTCTACATGCTGCCCACCAATAGCAGTTTTTTTGCGCCTAGGAGACTCATTTAATAGCGTAAGGCTATTAAATTGGGTGTCCAGCGCCAAGAACATATCAAGAGTTTTACGAAAACTCGTTAAAATGCCCTTAAAACCGCTTTTGGTTTGCCGCATGAAAGACGTCATTTCCCTTTCTACATCGCGACAGGCCTCACAGCAGTAACGCAGGCCGATGTTTTTCCTTACATCGTCCACCGTCCGAGCTGCAACTCCAATACACTTGGCG